TGTCGGCCCATCCCACAACCATGCCTGAGTTGTGGGTTTGAGGACACTCGGATTGTTGATGGGGTCTCGTGTGAGGCTTCTCGGGGGCGTTTTGGAGGCAGTTTTGGAAACTCTTGGGGGCCGCCTGGAGGGCTCTTGGGCGCGTCCTGGAGGGCTCTTGAGGTTTCGACATTCCCGTTCCGGTTGGCTCTTCTTTAGACCGTCCCGAGGCCTTTTTGGAATTTCTTGGGGGTTTCTGTGGCCTTCTTGGGGCCGTGTTGGAGCCCTCTTGGCGGCTTCTTGGGCATTCTTGGGCGCAGTGAAAGCGCAATAGGTTCGCGGCGCACGCAACGGGCGTCAGCACTAACAGGGGTCAGCCCGAGTCAGCTCCTCCCTTCTTGGCGACCCGGGCATGGGGAGGGTGGAGTCAGTTCTCCGTTTCTTGTCGTCCGCTGACCCCTTGGGTTCGGAGCGTCTTGAAGCAGCCAGCTGGGGCTTGCGACAGGGTCTTGTTTTACCCGAGCTAGCGCTGACCAAGGTTAGTTCGGACGAGGGCCCGGCGAGACAGCTGCGGCTCTCCCGCCCGGCCCAACTCCGCTCAAAATCTGCCCCTGGACCCGGACCCTTCCTGAGGTTCGAAGCGGATCCAGCCGTGACGACGAGAAGTTTCCAGGAGGCCCAACAAGGTTAGAAACGCCAGGGAGGGCAGCCGATTTCTCGACTTGCCCTCCGTTTTGCGTGTGTCCCCGACGTCTCATCGGGGACGCCGTGCCGCCCTCGGTGGGAGAGTCTGTGGAGGCAGCGGCCAGGAATGGCCCGAGAGCTCGCGGGAGCCTCCGGAGAAGTCTTGGAATGCGCTTTTCTCATTATCACCACCATCATCATTATCATCATCACCATCACCATCACCATCACCATCACCATCAGCATCAGCATCATCATCATCATCATCATCATCATCATCATCATCATCATCATTGTCATTGTCATTGTCATTGTCATTGTCATCATCATCGTCGTCATCATCCTTATCCTCATCATCTTCATCATCATCATCGTCATCATCATCCGTAGCATCATCCGTAGCTATTTTTGCTCAAGCAGCCGCGCGCGCTCGCGCGCAGTTGAGTGGCAGCGGTCTGCCGATCGGGCCGATCGGACTTCATGGGAAGCGATGGCCTCGCGGCCCACGAGGTGCTGTTCGACGGCATCGAGAGGGCAGCGCGTGGGGCGGCGGCTGGAGCGGCTGGCGCGGGGGCAGCGCGGCAGGTTACGGCCGCGGCAGTGGCGGCAGCCGTGCGCACGAGCGCCGAGGCGCTGGCGCCGCTGGTGCCGCTCGGCTGGCCCCCCACGGCATGCGAGGAGGAGCTCACCCTCCGCCTGGCGGCCATGGCCCCCGCCATGCTGCAGGCAGTGAGGGGTGAGCCCGCGGACGGCACAACACGTGCGTCGCGGAACCTGGGTGCGCACGCATTGCTGGGCGGTGGAGCTGCAGCTCTGGCGCAGGCGCTGCGCCACCCCATGCGAGCGCAGCGGGGTGCAGTCGCGGCGCGGACCCGCAGAGGGGCAGCTGCTCAGGGAGGGCGCTGGAGGCCCAGTCTCCGCCTGTAGGCGGCGGTGCCCCCCCAGGAGCGAGCGACACAAATGACAACCTCGGCGACGCCTGCAATGGCGCCGACGACAGCGGCGGTTAGTGCGCAGATCGGCCGCCCGCGGGGAGCTGCGTACCGCGCCTCCCGCCAGCGACCGTCGGAGTCGGGCAAGCGATCTTCGTCACCGGGCACGTCGAGTCGAGCGACGTGTTGGACGAGGACGAGGCCGAGGATGCGGAGGGGGTCAGCGTGATCCCAGTCCGCCCCCAGCGGTCGACGCGTGGCACGTCGACGACAACACCCTCGGCGACGCCTGCGCAAGCGAGGACGTTCTCGACGCAAGCGAGGTGCAGGCGCCCCTCGGCACCCAGCACCACGAGTCGAGCGATGTACAGGACGAGGGCGATGACGAGGAGCTTTCGGACGCGAGCCCTGTCGCTGGCGGTGGCACGGCGGCAAGCCCCGCCAAACCAGCGTCGGTCAGGCGGCGGTGAAGGCGCGGCCGTCGTCCCAGGCTGGAAGGACTGGCGGCGTCGGCCGCCGTACCTGCGATCGCACGGGCACCCGAGGCGACGGAGGCAGCCAAGGGCCAAGACCGCCACGTGCACAGCATGAAGGACAGCAGCGAGGCGGGGGAGGGCCGAGACCCGTGGCGCTGCCTTCGTCCTCGCGGATCGTGCGCGGTCGGCGCCTGAGGCGGTTCCTTTTTCCCTTGCCTCTGGCGCGGTGCGCAGTGGTGGCAGTGAAGGTTCGAGGAGCTCGGGCGGGATGGCGGCCCGAAGGCTCCCAGCGCCTGCCCGCCGACCACGGCGGTGAAGGAGGTAGAGAGCGAGAGGGACTCGGCCGATGCGAACAAGTACGAGCTGCACGACGGACCCCAGTAACACGTTCTGACACAGCAGGTCGTCGTGCCTGTGAACGGCGGTGGCTCTCCCGCCGCTCCCGAGCGGGAGGAGCCGATGAAGGTTAATTTCGATGATTGCGGCTCTGATCAGAAGAGCGGCGACGTGCGAGACGGTCTGCAGGACTCCGACGTTCAGGAGTCGGCGCGGGGTTCCTTCCCCGTCGGTGTTGGGGTTCGCCATGGCGCTCACGACGCCGAGCCGCACGGCGACCACCAGCAGGACGGCCCCGAGCAGCCAGGGGCACAGTCCAACGAGCACTCGCAGCACGGCGAGGAGGAGCAGGACGAGCAGGAGCAGGAGGGGTTCCAGTGCGGCCCGCATTGCCTAGCCCCACCGGCTGCGGCGCGGGACGGGTGCCCCGACCAGGACTTGGCAGAGGGCGAAGCGCGCATCGCCGACCGAGGGTCCTTCTTCGATCGTCTCAGGAAGGCGTGGGCCGCGGTCGTCGCTTCGGAGGGCGTCGAGGGCGACGAGGCTCGTCAGCGCCAGCAGGTCGGGTTCGGCGTGCTGCACTCCCTCGAGCGGCGCGCAGCCCTGGCGTTGGGCCCAGCGGCAGCCGCAGAGGCCTCGGGAGAGGCACGCCGCATGGCCTTCGACTCGGAGGCGGCGGCGCTGCGGGCACAGGCGGCGGCGGGCTTGGCGACGCCGCGCGCAGCACTGGCAGCACCTTTGTGCGCGGCTGTCCAGTTCCGCAGGCGGCGTAGCTGAGTCGTGCCACCGCCTTTGATTGGCAACTTGCGTTGGTGTGCCCGTGTGCGGCTGTTGCGTGCAGTTTCAATGCATGGCCTGTGCAACTCCGCCTTTCTGTGGATGAGAACCGTGCGAGTAGGTGGCCCTGCCACCGACGCCCAGGCTTGACTCCACATGACAGCAGAGCAACGAAGCTGACTGGTGGGCCAGGGCCTCGTGTGCTATGTTGCTCTGCTGCGTTCCATATCGCCAACGCTCGGCGCTGGGCTCTTGCACACGCTCTGCAGCGGCGGAAGAGATGGGTATTTTCGCGTGCGCGCATGCTCTGTTCAATGTAGCTTCTGGTCGTCGGCAGCTTAGTCGCTTTCGAGGGTGCGGGAACCCGTGGCTTAGGCTGTACCCTGTGGGGCTCGGCACACGCTTGTGGTATCTCCCTCCGTTCTCTGGGGGTCGTTGTTGTCTGTGCTGGCGCTTCGCTCTCGGGATCCCTCGCCCAGCGAGAGCGGCGCCCTCCTTGTGGCGTCCGAGAGTGGAAGGGGCCCCGAGGCGCAGCCCGTACCCACCTCGGGCTCGGCATACGACAGGGTTCATTCTTTCCTGCCCCGCTTGGGTTCGCTGTCGACTGGCGTGCCCGCCCGGACGGCCTTCGACTCTCGGGCGCGTTCTGTGTGTAGCCAGGTCTGAGCTGAGTTTCAATTAGCCGCTGGCGCGCTAACGCGCGACGGCAGCCGCCAGCCCGTCAGAGTTCTGATGCGGAGGGCGATCTGTGAGCGTAGGGCAACCCACGCCCAGGATCGATCTCCGCAGGCATGAGGAGCAACAGCGTCGCGCGTTGTGGGGCCTTGTGTCAAAGACACCGTTGTTTCCCAGGCGCGGCGTGCAGCGTAGCTGCGTACCAGCTCGCTAGACCGTGCAGTCTTGACCTGTGTTTTTTTGCCGAACGTGCTGGGTCGCTCTGACTGGTGGGATCGGTCGATCGCTTGCTTTGGCGGAGGCGGTGGTTTGCCCTCGGCATTCAGGCGAATCTGCGAGTGTGCGCCGAGGCGCACGATACCGAGCGTTGCCTCCGCAGGGCCATATGGAAACGCGTCGGTCCGAGGGGCAGTACGAGCTGGGAGCTCCTGAGTCGCTAGATGCGTGGATCATCAGCATCATCATCATCATCACCATCACCATCATCATCATCATCATCATCATCATCATCATCATCATCATTCGTCCACATGTCTCTTCATTCCTCCCCCTCCCGTTCCCGCCCTCCTCCTCTTCCTTCTCCTCCTCTCTTTCTTTCCTCCGGATCTACATCTACACCCTTCCCTTCAAAATAGCTCCTCCCTGCCGAATCCCCAGACGTCGGTAGGGCGGGCTGGTTGTTTCGAGTGTGGCTTCATCAGCACGGATGGACGGCGGGTGGTTTTCAAAATGCGGTTCGCGGTTTAGCGCCGTGCACATTCGTTTTGAACGCTCGCAGTTGTTTCACGGATTCGTATGGTTGCAGTCACAGTAACGGCGTTTTGGAGCGATTGTGCGTTGTCAGTCCCAGTGGAAGTCCCAGGACTGGCGCTCTGGCACGAGTAAGGGTTGTCAGGACGCAGCGGTCACGTTGATTCGCGGCGCTGAAATCCAAGGACTGGTGTTTCGGCACGCTGGAGGATTCTCAGACGATTGTTTCCCAACGGAGCACTTCCCGCATTTTTTTGGCAGGGGCTTACGACGGGGAAATTTAGGCAGGAGGGTCTATTGCAGCAGTGCTGATGCGTCTTACGTTTGCAATGGGGCTCCTCATCCCCGTGCTCCTCCTCACGGCGCTTCCCCGCGCCGCGGCCTGCGAAAGGTATAGAAGACACGCGGCCCCCCTGGACGGACGCAGCTTCACGGTGGACAAGTTCCACGAGGCCCGGGAGCGACCCCTAGCAGTCGGCGGCCCCTCGCTGGCGGGCTGGCTTGGGGACACAGGTTTCTCATCGTTTTCGGCCTCTGGGAGCCCTCGCCAGGCACCACGACTGGCACAAAACGGCTTACGAGGAGCAGCCAGCCGCGGGGAAAGGGCCGGGACTTCCGGCAACCCCGTCTGGACAAAGTCAAGATTTCGGATTGATGTTGGACCCGCGACCTCCACCGTCACGGAAAAGTTGCGACGGCATATTATTGTTCGCCGATGTTTGGGACACGTGGGACCAGCTTCTCGGAGGAGGGTCATTCGAGATAACGGCGTCTAGTTTGGCATTTCTCGTATTGCATTTCCCAAACATCTTGTGGCATTGGGCTCTTGTTCGAGAAAAACAGCGCCCCGCGTCACACTCCTTACTCCTCGCCTTCCTTTTCCTCCTCCTCCTTTTCCTCCTTCTCCTCCTCCTCATCTCATCCCTTACATCTGCCCTCCGCATGTCTCTGTTTCGGCACACACATACACACACACCTCACACGCTCCGCGGCCTCATAGGGAACTCCACCGAAGGCCCAGCGAGAGGATCCACATGCTCCACCCGCGCCCATTTCGGCACACACCCCATACGCTTCGTGGCCTCATAGGGAGTTCCACCGAAGGTCCCAGTAGCAGGATCCACGCGCGTCATCCGCACCCGCGCACACTGTCAGAATTGGCAGTGAGCGCAGACTTCATTGAGCGCGGACCACGGCGGGCGCGCACTTCAAGCGGGCGCGGGCTTCGGCAGGCGAGGCGCTCCAGCGCGCGCAGGTAGCAGCTGGCGCGGACTTCAGCGGGGGCGGATTTCGGCGGGCGAATATGCTGCAATCGCAGAGGTCAGTGGGCGCGGACTCCAGTGGGCGCAGGCTTCAGCGGGAGCAGAGTCCCACGGGCGCAGACGTCCATGGACACCAACTTCAGCGGGCACTGGCGTCGGCGGACGCAGGCTTCAGCGAGCGCAGCCTTCAGAGGTCGCAGACTTCAGCCAGCGCAGCAATTATTAGGCGCATGCGCCAGTGGGCGCAGGCCTCAGCGGGCGAAAGCTTCGCTAGGCCCGCGAGTCAGCGGGTGCAAGCTCCCATTGGCCCTGGCTCCTGCGGGCGCAGACTTCTGCGGGCGCAGTGGGCGCGGGCGTCAGTGGACGCAAGTTTTACGAGGCGCAGACGCCAGTGGGCACAGACGTCAGCCCAGGCAGACTTGAGTGGGCGAGGACACCAGTGGGCGAGAACGTCCGCGGGAGGAAATTTCAGTGGGCGCAGACTTCAGCGGGCGTAGGACCCAGTTGGCGGAGACTTCGGGGACGGCGCAGACGGCGGGTTTCCCCCGATAAAAACAAACGAATCACCGAGTTGATTTCCTAAGTTGACTACGCCTCTTGACTCGACTACGTGGGTGCGCCGCCCGTTCGAATTGACTACCTGAGTGCGCGGCCGCTCCGCGGCTTGACTACGCCTCTCGACTACCCGAGTGCGCCGTCCCTCCGCGTCTCGACTACCGGAGTGAGCGGCCCTTCCACTACTCGACTACCCAGGCGTGGGAGCGAGTTTTGTGTTGATTCCGTGGACGCGGGCGCGTCTTGAACGCCCGAGTTCACGCACGCTGGCGGCGAGAGAGGGCTTTCCAGCTCAATGCGCCCGCATCGAGTTCAGCCTGTACGCCTAACTCGAATTCGTCGGCGCCTTGACTAGCGGAGACGTGGCAAGCAAGTCATGGCGGTTGGGACTTGGGCCCCCTCCGCTCGCAGCGGGGGTCTCATTTGTCACCGCTCCCCTCACTGGGGCCCCAAGTACCCCTTCCCGAAGCGGCGACCTTGCCGGCCAAACTTTTCTCATCGGTGGCGTCAACAAAAAATCCATCGATGGGCCAGTTTGTTTGAAATTTTGCTGATATACTGGCCCCACGGGGAACCTACAGGGACCATTAGGACTGAATTAGTTTGGCCTCAGAATGCGCCAATAGTTAACAAAAGAATGCCGACAGTGCCCAGAAGAGGTCCAATGTGGCATCGGGAGCGCCCAGAGTCGTCCCGATAACGTCCCAGGAGGGATCTAAGATGCCAGATTACGGGCTCCAGACGGGCAGTGCTAAGTGGCTCTGGGCTGGGGTTCCGGCTCGATATTCTTTCTACGGCTTTCAGTATGGCCCCACAATTATCCTGGCGAAGGACCCAACCATATGCAGTTGTGAGTGCCGCTATTGTGAATATCTTCTTCTGTGGCGCTCCCGATGGGGCCACGAATCCACGAACCGTATGAGGGGTGTGCCGAATTGCGTGGCGGGGCACACAACACGAAGGAAGACGACAGGTCTAATTACGAGAGATTCAGCGCGGTTGAGTCTGAGCGCGAGCGAGTATGAGTGTGAATGAGTCTGCGTGCGAGTGAGTATACTTGCATGAATGCGATCATGGTTACGGCGAGTGTATATATATATATATATGTTTAGGTAAGAATGTGAATGGTTCGGGTATGCCTGAGTCTGAGCACTCGTGACACGTAGCGAGGTCGCCGCAGGGAGTTTCCCTGAAAACCCCGACGGCAGCGCCCGCACGCTGCGACGCCCATGTCGGAACGCCCCTCACGAGGATCGCACCCGCTTCCTTCCCCTCCTTTCCTCTCTTTTTGCCCGCGCACTCCGAAGTCCGAAGCTGCGGGCGCAGCGCAGCGCGGAGTCCCCGCGACGCGCGCCCGTCGCCCTGGAGGGGTCCCAGCGACGCGCGTGGGTCGTCCGCTGCGCGGAGCAAAGAAAGCTGGCTGGCAGGCTGACTACGGGCAAGGCTCTGGCCGCTGGGCAGAGCGACGACCGGCGAGCGAGGCGCTAGGCAGAGCGCAGCGCAGAGTTCCCGCGACGCGCGCTGGTCGCCCCGAGAGGGTTCCAGCGAAGCGCGCGGTCGTCCGCGGCGCGAGGCCAAACACTTAGTCCGGACATCGAGAAAAAGGCGCGGCTCGGGAGGGGCGCCCCTCAAGTCAGCCTTCGCGGATGAATTCGGTGCAGGAGGGCAAGCAGGACGTGGAGGAGGAGGAGGAGGAGGAGAAGGAAGAGGAGGACGGGGGAGAATGCAAACGAAGAACCGGAGAGGAGTTGGGGGGAGAGAAAAAGAACCATGCGCCCGCCGTCCCGCTTGTATTTTCACTTTGGTGCGGAGGAGCGGCCGACTCGCCCCCCTGAGCTTCATCCTCCGCTTCATCATCGCATTCGCTTGCCCTCCTGGTCATCATTATCATCATCATCACCACCATCATCACCACCATCACTCCTCACCATCATCTTCTCATCATCATCATCATCATCATTACCACCATCCTCACCATTGTACTTAACCTCCTTCGTCCTGATCCGAACTGCTTGGAGATCCCCAGGAGCCCCCGTCCACAGAGTGACGCTTCTTCTGGGCTGCGATCTGCGCGAGGGGCGGCCCGAAATCGGCGCGGCGCCGCCATGTGAACTCTGCCACTGGGCCTTCGGTGGAGCTCCCTATAGGGCCACAAAGCGTGCGAGGGGTGTGCAGAAATTGGGCGGCGCCGACATGCGGACTCAGCCGCTGCGGCCTTCGGTCCGGCTCTGGCCACGAAACGTGCGAGAGGTGCGCCAACATGTTGAATGGAACCGCTTGCAAACGCAGCCACTGGGGCCTTCGGTGGAGCTCACTGTGGCGACACGAAACGTGTGAGGGGTGTGCCGACATGGAGGTGGAACCGCATGCGAGCGCAGCCACTGGGGCCTTCGGTGTAGTATGGGTCCATGAAAAGTGTGAGCAGTGTGGCGAAAGGGGGGTGGAACCGAATGCGAACGCAGCCACTGGTACCTTCGGTGGAGGTCCCTATGGGACCACGAAAACTGTGGGATGTGTGCCGACATGGGGAGGCCACGATCTTCGTGATGGGTGTGTCGAAATTGCCCGACGCCGCCATGCGAACCCTGCCACTGGTGCATTCGGTAGAGGTCCTCGTGAGGGGTGTGCTGAAATGGCCCGGGGCCGCATGCGAACCCTGCCACTGGCGCCTTCGGTGGAGGTCCCTATGGGGCCACGATCCTCGTGAAGGGTGTGCTGAAATAGCCCGATGCCACCATGCGAACCCTGCCACAGGCGCCGTCGGTGGAGCTCCCTATGGAGCCACGATCCTCGTGAGGGGTGTGCCGAAATGGCCCGGGGCCGCCATGCGAACCCTGCCACTGGGGCCTTCGGTGGAGCTCCCATGGGGCCACGATCCTCGTGAGGGGTGTGCCCAAATTGCCCGAGGCCGCCATGCAAACCCTGCCACTGGCGCCTTCGGTGGAGCTCCCTATGGGGTCACGAAACGCTGTGCTGGGTCTGCCGAAACAGAGACTTGCGGAGGGCAGAGGCAAGGAGATGATGATTGCGATGGTGGTGATGATGATGCTGCTGCTGATGATGATGAGTATGATGATGCTGCTGATGATGATGATGATGATGATGATGATGATGATGATGATGATGATGATGATGATGATGGCGATGGCGATGGCGAGGACGACGACGATGACGACGATGATGACGACGATGATGGTGATAATGACGATGATGATAATGATACCGATGCTGATGATGATGATGATGATGATGCTGATGATGCTGATGGTGATGATGATGATGATGATGATGATGATGATGTTGTTGTTGATGATGACGATGACGATGACGATGATTATGATGACGAGAGGAGGAGGGATCGGGCAGTGGGAGGAGGAGGAGGAGTGAACGTGGGGCGCTGTCTCTTCGAAACGAGGGCCCAACACCACAGGATGGTTGGGACAAAAACATGCGCCAGACAGGTGATTGCCTTCGACTCCGAAGGATCAACCACAGCAGCAACAGCGATACAACACCTCGAACATCTTCCACTGCTTTTCGGAGGTGACTCCCGTGCTACGGTGACGATTGGTACCGTTCCCACCAGAAAGAGTGTGATGGAGTTCGCTGTTTTCACTGCAACATCAATTTCTGCGTGCGGAAAGGGCCTACTCCGGAACAACTTGATATCGGAGGAGCGCGAGCAGGAACAACGATTGGAGAACACAACGCATCGTTTCAAAGAGCATGCAGAACATTCGCAACAGGATATCAAGTTCATATCGTCTAAATGTATGGTTGTGTTGAAGGACTGGTTTGGGAAATCGAGGAAAAATGCTTGCTGTGATGAGGAGGGGGGTTGGCACACCACAGGGACTGAGAAGGCAGTGCAGAAGGAGGTGGAGGAAGCCATGGAGAAATGTAGGAAACATATACGCCCCGATCCCGAGACAGAGAGCGAGTGACGTTACGACGACGCCCACGGCAGTACAATCCCGAGAAGCACGAGGGCATCTACAACGTCGATGTCGACTCCCCTTCCCCCTTCACCCCTCCCTTCTTCTCTCTGTCTCCCTCGATTGTCCTCCTCCTCGTCCTCCTCCTGCACGGCTTCCTCCACCTCCCTCCTCCTGGAGAACGTGGAGTTGGGGGTGGGAGGTGACCTTGACGCCGATCTCGACAGCTTGCTTCTAGTTTTTGGAGATGCCTCTGGCGGGCAGTTTAGCAGTGACCCTCGTCGTCGCAGAGTGGGCGCGGCTACGATATCCTAATTAGGCGGCGGCCCCTGGGGGCTGGCTGCGGTCCTGTGGGTTCGCCACGACCCTTGCCGTGCGTTTGAAGTGGCGTTGCGAACTTGTTCGGGACCATGCGTTTTGTGACGGACAAGGCCGCGCTCCACAAAGGATGGCAGGCCAGACGGCACCAGGAGAATAAGGGTCCCAATTCTGATGTCTTGGTCCGAGTTCGTACAGCCCTGGCCGAGAGAGCTGAGGGAGAGGTCCAGGTTGTGTGGTGCCCTTCGCACGTGGGCCCCGGGGATCGTTCCCCCTCTCCTCCGGAGCGGCTTTTTGCCACGGGGAACGGCTCACGGCTTCGCCGACGCCTTGGGGAGGCCGCCCTTCTTGGGGGAGGGGCGACAAGCCGCCCGACTCTGATTTTGGGGATTGTACCGCCGCGCCTCGGCTCCATCAGTGCGTCGCCCTGGTCCGCCGAGCAGCCTCCCGAGGCCCGCCGCGTCCCCGAAGGCCTCAACAAGGCTTTGCGCAGGAGAGAGCGTTGTTCGTTTCTGGCTGAGCGCAAGTTGCTGTGCGCTCTCTGTCACGCCGCCGCCCCTGTCAATCAGGTTGCGGAGTTCAGTGCCACGCAGTGTCCAGCGGCACCCCAGGACCTTTCGTGTCTGGAGGACGATGGGATGGTGCGGGCCAGTGGGTCGGTGACAGCTGGGAGAAGGATTGTCATTCCTCTCATGATTTGCTTTTCTGGTCCAAAGCTGGGTTGCATTTGTGTATGGCGGGCTGTAGTCCTGCCACGGAGAACCCTCGCCATCTGGCAGTCGACTGCAAGCCCCGCGCCAAGCAAGTTCTAAATAATCTTCAAAGAATTCAAAAGAGTGTTTCCCGGGCGATCAGGGACCGTCGAAGGCGCCCTTGGCTCGGGAGCATGGCGGTGTCAGGCGCAAGATTGTCCTCCGTGGCCCGCCGCCTGGGGTGCTAGATAGCCGACTTCTCTCCCACCTTGTGGATATCAGCGAATTCCAGCGAACCCCTCCCCTCGATCCCCTTTCCCCTCCCTCTCGCCCTCTCCCCCGCCCTACTTCCTCGTCTTCATCATTCTGTGAACCCTGGGCCCTGAATGGCAATTGGCCCAGCAACCCACGAAAACGATGTGAGCACCGAGACGTACGTGCAAACACGCTTCCCGACACCCTGGTTAGAGGCGGGCTGAGACAATTCTTGCGCGAAAGCACCCTCCAGAGTTAGCCCTGCCGCTACGCGTCCGACGTACGTCGAGAACTAGTATGGACTCGCGGGTCCAAGATTGGGCCTTGAAGGTTGGGGCCCTGAGGACGAGTGGCCTCGAACAGTGGAGGTTCAGCTTGAGATACCCTATCATTAGGGCCCCATCCCCCAGGGCACCATCTTTGAACCGCCGATCCGACCTCTTCTCCCCTCCCGCCTCCCCGCTTCATTCCCCCGCGAGGCACCGCACCACTACATCAAGGCCCCCCCCCCCCGCGGGGCCCCGCCGCAGCACCGCCCGGACTCCCGCGTCGTCATTGTCATCAGTCGGTGTTGCCGTCCTTGTCGTAAGCGCTTTCTTCGTCGTCGAAGACATGGGGGCGGAGGGGGTGAGTGGGGGATGAGGGAGCGAGGGAAGAGGGAGGGAGGGCCTTGGCGGCGGCGCTGGCTAGCCAGCGCAAGCTCCGCACGGCCGAATCGGCCGCAGATTGATGCGCTATGTCTTGTGCGTGGGGTGTGTGAGGAGAGCGAGAAGAAAGGGGGGGCGAGCGAGCGAACACACGGGCGAGGAGAAGCAAGACGAGGCGATTGATCTTCTCACCAGCGAGGTGGGACCAGTCATTGGCCAGATGGGACCCTGCACCCGCTCATTTGTTCACCGTCTGATTGGGTGTTTCATTGGCGAGGTCTCATATAAGACTGAAGGGTAGTGCTTGCATGTCAGTCAGCCACAAAGATTGAATTCACACTTCACCGTTTCTGGAATTCACTGCTGGCTGCTGTTTTATGGAGGCGGGTGAAGAGACCAATTCTGGCTCTGTGCCAACGTGGCTGCCACGGTGACGACGCAGTTCGGAGAAGGAGGAGGAGGACCAGTGTAAACCTAAGAATCTTGAACGATTTTGGAATACACCCTCCAAGCTCCCTCGTCTTAGGCTCCTACAAGGGTTCATTTCCACTGAGGAAGTGCCCCGTTAGAAACCATTCGTTAGAAGATCCTGAAGCGTGCCAACACACCGTTCTCGGGACTCCAACGCCACGAATGAACCAGATGTTCGCGTCCTGACGATCCTGCTTCGTACCAGAACGCTATTCTTGTGACTTCAAATCAGGGGATCAACGTAACTGTTGCGCCCTGACGGGCCGACATCATCATCGTGCCAATGCACCGTTTCTGGTACGTTAACCATGAGAGTCCGTAGAACTCCTGGCAAGTGTTTAAGACGAGCGTTCGTGGTGCTAAGGCAAGAGCCACATTTTGAAAACGAGCCGCCCTCAACGTGTCAATCTCTTGCACAATTGTTCAACGAATGTGCGCAGCGCTAATGCGAGAGCCACATTTTGAAGACGGCGCGCCCTCAATCCGTGAAACTTTTGCAAATGTTTAATACGAGTGGGCGCGGCACTAATGCGAGGGCATCATTTTGGAAGCGGCCCGCTCTTACTCTGCGAAGCTGTTGTTGAATTCTAAGCTTCAGGATGATTAGTGGGTAGGAAGTCTCAGGCGGAACGCCCGGCCCGCCCTTCCAACTGGCCTCTGAGTGCGACCAGGTGGGGTTTATTTATGAAGAACAGGATCGGAGAAGGAGGAGGAGTAAGGTGACGACGATTGGTTACACGCTTGGAGAAGATCCCTCGGCGGATGGGATGTGAGCTCAAAGGCGAAGCTAGACGAACCCTGCCTTCTCTAAGACATCGGTCATATGCTCGATCCCTGGGAAAACGTAGGAGCCCCAGGGAGGCTCGAGGGGAGGCTCGTTCTTTGGGAAAACAGAGGCCCTGGGAGGCTCGATAGGAGGCCCAATCCCTAGGAAATCGTATGAGCCCCAGGGAGGCTCGTTCGGAGGTTCGATTCATGTAGAAACGTAGTAGACCCAGGAAGCCAGGGAGATTCGATGGGAGGCTCGATCCCAGGGAGATTCGGTTCCCCAGCTGGTCATCCAGTCAGCCGGCCAACCGGTCAATTGGTTAGCCAGCCAGTTGGTCAGCCGGTGGAGGGTCCCATGTGGCTGGTGACTGGTTGCGAAGGCGTTTATCCCGGAGGAGGAGGAGGAGGGGGAGGGGGGAGGAGGAGGAGGAGGAGGAGGAGGAGGAGGAGGAGGAGGAGGAGGAGGAGGAGGGAGGAGCAGCAGCAGAAGCAAGAGAGGAGCCCCAGCTGGGAGCTCGCGCGGGAGGAGGAGGAGGAGGAGGAGGAGGAGGAGGAGGAGGAGGCAGGAGGTGGGAAGCGGGGTACCAGAGGCAGGAGCGAGTGCGTCGGCGCAGGAGCGGGGGTGGTATCAGCAGCAGCAGCTCCATCAGCAGCAGCAGCAGCCCGATGCTCGAGGACTGCATTGTTGTGACAAAGTAAACATGATATTGAGAACCACAAGTGGGAGACATTTCAACAGATAGCCTCCCGCTGTCGGCAAAGATCCTGTAGAGGACGATGAATAATCGCGATGACGGCGACGACCACGAGCCCTTTTAGAACTCAATGTGTGAATCTTTCCGTATTGTCGTCACCGGGATTTCCACGCCACCGGGTTGGGCCCCTTCGGGGGCGCTTTTGGGGCCATCATGAAGACCATTGGTCAAATAAGGGGGTTAACCAATCACGGTCCCGCCCCCCCCCCATCGGAGGCCGACACATTCTTTCTTGGTACCTTCTGTGGGAGCTCTTGGGCGCTCTTGGGGCTGTATTGGGCCCTCCTGGGTCCCTCTTCGTGCTGTCGTAGGCCATCTTGGAGCCAAGCCATCTTGAGGCCTTAAGAGGAAATTGGAAACGAAAAGGCGAGACGACAAAATCATGTGGTTCCTTCGGTTTGGGAAAAGGAGGTTTGCCTGTCGGGTGGGTCCTTGGGAGGCTCCGTGGCACATGGAGCCGTCTTGAGGCAGTGTTTTTGTTTGTTGCAGACATGTTGGTAGTTATGCCGAACCATCTTGAGCTATTGTGTGCGATCTTAGAAGCCTGGCTTGGCCATCTGGGGCCATCATCCTCGAGCCATCTTGGACGCTCTGACCGCTCACGGCGCCCGTCTCCAGACCTGGAAAGAGAGGGTAGGCGGAAAGCAAAATCTTGCCACGAAGGGGAATCACGATGATGGAGGATCTAACTTGCTAAAGCACCGACGCCCAAAGGGCTGGTGGGAGTGAGCCAGCTGCCCGCGGCAAGTCTCGCAACCCTGGCAGCCCAGCACCGTGAGTGGTTATTGATAGGAAACCGTAGCGCGGGACACGTTGTGCCCCGAGGCTTGGGAGATCCGTCACATGTGACATGTTCTTCCGCGCCACGCCGTCATTGAAATTGCACAAGGAAGGTGAGCATGATGAGAAGGAGGAAGAGGCGGATAATGATGAGGAGGAGGAAGACGAGGAGGAGGAGGAGGAGGAGGAGGAGAGGAGGAGGAGGAGGAGGAGGAGAAGGAGGAGGAGGATTGGTTGACGAGGGCATGAACAGCGTGCTTATGCTCTTGGTAGTGGTGATGATGGCGGCGTCGATGATGTTACTGACTGTGATGGTGATTGTGCTGTTTATGCTATTCATACTGTCATCATCCGTATCTCCAGATGAAGTGGGGAGGAGGACGATTACGGTCGTCACATGTGCCACCTTCTGTCTTCACTGCATGAGGAGCTCTCATGGGGCTCATTTGGTCAGTCTCGGGGCTGTCTCGGGCTCCTGTTGGGCAGTCTTGGGGCTCCCTGGCTCCACTTTAGGTCATCTTCGGAACCTGTTGGGCCGTTTTCGGCCTCTCTTGGACCGTCTTGGGGCCCTCGTGGCCGTCTGTGGGGTCTCTTGCGGCCGTCGTTGGGCCGTCTTGGTGCCGTCTTGGGCAGTTGAGAGGCACTCTAAGGCAGTCGTGGGTCCCTCCAGAAGCTCTCTTGGCCTCTTGGGCTGTCTTGAACACCATCTTGGCCCGTCTCTGGTCAATGTTACGCCGTTTGGAAGGCTGGCCCGGCCGTTTTACAGGTTCGGGAGCGCGTAACTATCATCTTGTATAGGGATCGTGGCATCGGGAAGGCGGGGCCAGTGCTTCTGCGAGGGAGCATGGCCTTCCAGAAATCCTATTATGCAGCCCTTGACATTTTACCGCACAGAATCAAGCCAAGCAACAGTGCCCCTTGTGCTCCGCACCCTCCTGGCACCCCCGTCTTCCCCAGGATTCCATCTGAGGTCCCTCGAGCGTCTAGAAGCCCGCTCGGCAGCCGATGAGGTTCGATCGTGGGCCCGCTCCGCGGCCGAGCGGGTTCGTCGCATGCGCGTCCCGTTCTTCGGGCACTCACTCGGGCGTCAGGCGGCCGTTCGGGACGATCCTGGCACCCCTGGATGCCTCTCGACGAGGCGCAGCTGATGGACAGAACCTTAGGGAACGAAAACTTCCAGAAACAGGCAAACGCGCAAGAAAAGATACGAAACCCTCCGAATGCCTTCGGGCACGTGGGGCGCAACTCGCCCTGTCGTGACAGACCGGTCGATCCTCGTGCCTCTCGCCTGGGACGCCCAGGTGGTGCACACCCGCTTCGAGGCCGCGCCTCCGCGCGGTCGGCTGGGGGCGCGGGCATTTCGGGCATCGCGGGAGAAGGGTAATCCTGACATCTGGGCAGCTCGGGCACATCGACACGGCCAGCTCTGCACAGCTTTGCACAGTTTCTGAGCTTCCAAACATGTTTTGGGAGGTTATCGGCCCCCAGGGTGCTCTCCATCAGCTGCGTTTCGTCGAGGGGCGCCAGGGGGGGCTCGGATCGTCCCGAACGGCCGCCCGAGTTCCGAGCGATGGCCCGAAGATGATTGGGGCACCGGAGTCCCCTCCTGAGCCCATTAAACGTGTGACCCCGTTCGGCCGCCGAGCGGGCCCACGATCGAGCCCGATCGGCGGCCGAACGGACTCAGGTCACGCCACGGCATCGGGATTGAGCCCGTTTGGCTGCCCACTCGGCGGCCGAAAGAGCTCATACGCCGAGTTGGTCCAGAAGGGAACCCTCGGTTGCAACACAGGCGGGTTTGATTCAGTAGTTCGACCTTACAAAATCAAGGTCGCCCTCCCAGTCGCGTATCACGTCTTCATATCTAGAGCACAGGCTGCCCTCGGAGGAGACTTGTGACTGTATCCTCTCGGATGTCCTCCGCAAGGAGTCCTGACTGTACTCTGCGTTCGGCTCTTCGTTCGGCTCGCCTTGACGGCGCACCGCGCCGTGCAGTGGAGCGCCTTCGGCGCGCGTTGGTTGTCCATGACGGGGGGGGGGGGCATGGGGCTGTCGGCGGGTGTGGCGCCCTCTCCGCGCGAATTCTGGAACTCGTGGCACTCAATGTCGCGGGTTCCCCATGTTGCGTTTTAGTCGTTGGCGGTTGTTTGAGAGGAGCAAGACGTCACGACGCACTCCAAGATTTCCAGGTTGTCCTGTTGGTCAGCGCGGGCCCCAAAGACGAGAAGACTTCGCTCCGTCGCGCAGGTGCGTTGCTCGAGTTCTGCGATGCGCTTATCGCGCGGCCTGGCGCCCTCAAGCATTCGAGCTGTTGCCTCCCTCGTCCCCTGACATCGCGCGGCGCAAGTGGCGAGGCGCGCCTTTCGGGCCAACTCCTCCGAATGTCGCTCACGGGCGCGCAGGGGGGTACGTGCTGCGTCCGCCGTGGCGCGACGCGGTTCGCTACTCAGCGGGCAGGCACAGACCAGCCGAATGTAGTTGTTCAGTTGTAGTTGTTTTTTTTCTCGATTGCGCCCTGTAAACTATCAGACAAAATGTCTGGCGGGCGGAGTGCGCATGCGGCCCAGGACACTGGAAGATGTTTATTTCCGATCGTGCTAAGGATAAGGACGAACGATCCAGGAGGAGGACGAGGAGGATAAGGAACTGGTTTGCTCGAGTCGCGAATGTGTTTGCAGATACCAGCTAGGAGAAATCGAACACCCGAAGCTCGCGCGGGGTTGCGATGGAAAGGGTGGTGTTCGGAGGCGGAGGCGGCGTCGCCTCTTCTCTGACCCTTGGCTGATGGTTCAAGATCATGAGTCGACTACTCAGGGCAGTTTGATACAATACTTGCGCATGCAAGTTGATCTCGTATGACCGAGGAACTGCACGATATTCCAAATCGCGATTTTGTGATATTGATCGGCATTCAGAAGCTTGGCACAAGCAACCAGTGGGATGATAGCAAGCAGGTGCAGGAGCATTGGGCGCTCGGGCACGGACACGGCAGGGGGAGGTATGTGAACCAGTCATGTGGCGTCACGTTCTTATTTCGAACGAGTCGGTTTGGACGGTTTCAGATGCGTCGCATTGTGCCAGTTCCGAAGTTTCTCTGGGGTCGAGCTGGTGCTGTATTATTCGCGATTGGCGACACCCCCCTTGGTTTCGGAGTGTTATTTGCACCACCCCGCCAAAAGGGGGCCAGCGGAAAAACGTCACAGGACATTGCAGATGTTGTGTGGTTGGTTGCATGAGTCCTTGCTATTTCTAGTATCCAGACGGGCCACGCCTATAATGTTCACAGACTTCAATGGCGCACGACCGTTCACTGGGCAGGACCGAGTCGCAGGGGAACGCGGCCGTGGGCTCCCGTCGCCATCTTTTCAGGGTCGGAAGTTAACGAGTGCGAGCACATATTTCGAGAATCGGGGTAGCTGTGATGGTGAGCATTGGGAGACATATATTGACCGCATATGGATGCCAGAATTAGCGATTTGCGCGGTAGAGAAATGTCATGTGCGGACGAGATCAGGAATAATATGGCAATTTCGCCAAGATGTGGCACCGATGGGCCACCACCCGACTCAGCTCACGATTTTTCTTGACCGCCCACCGCAGTGTTCAGCGCGCCTCCCACGACCCGGTCGCGAGAGCATGTGTCGACGCGCGCAGGGGGTCACACGCGCCAGGAGTTATTTGATATTATGGAGCGCGAAGCAGAGAAGGTGCAGACAAGAGTGGAGGAGAATGCAGATAGAGAAGACGACCCAGACGACATGGGTGAGTGCGTCATGGAAATTGCAAACACGGTCCTGCTCGAAGCATTCCCCAAGGGTCCGCGGCGCGCTGAGGGGCGAGAACGCAAGGCGCGAGAGTTGCGGCGGCTGCTACTATTGCGACGGGGGGTTCGAGGGGCACGTGGCGCGGTAGAATCCGGACGACAATTGGGTATTGCATTCAGACAGATACGCGAGCTGCGTGTCAACCCCAATAACACCGCCAAGCAGTTTTGGACAAAGTTGAATGACCGCAGGTGCGCCGAGATTCGCGGGGCGCTGCAGGCCGGTGGCGGACGCGCAGTCGAGCTCAGCAGGCTGATTGCAGGCGAGCGAAGAGGAGCGCGTCAGCACAGATGCGCAGCAGCGCCGGGGTCAACCGTCACGGCTTCGCAATGGGTGGGGCAGATGTGCAAGCCAGCAGTTGAAACAAAGGCAGTTCCGCCACTGCCGTCTCCCCTGAAGAGATGGCGCTAAAAGTCCAGAGTGTACCTTCAGCCCAAATAGAATTCACCCGAGCCACTTGCATTGCTGCGGAGGACTGGGGCAACATGAAAGATGCAATCTGCCGCTTCAAGTCCTGGAGGGCGCGGCCTGACTGGAGCGTTTCATTAGAGGGCATTCGCAGCGTATTCTCCCCCAGCTGGGTGAATCCGAGACGCCCCGCAGTGCAGGGCGGGATAGGATATGACCAGCCAGAGCTGCAGGAGCTAACTCGCACCTCGTCGATTCCTGGTCGTTTGGTTGCTGGATGCAGGCAGGAGACTTCGGCGCGCCCCGGCGACGTGGCGCGCTGCGCTCGCGGCTGGGATTTCAGAAGGCAACGACGCGCCTGATTGCGCCGGGCAGCGCGTCATTATTGTGATGGGCGCATTAGGAAGGTGCGCGAATGGAGCGGCCATCCGACGGAGACGCCCGAAGCGGGGGCCGCCTGACTGGATATATGGGGGGCTGAAGGAAAGAAGGGGGGGACAATGCAATGAGTTCAATTGACTCGATTTACCGCGTGCACTATGCGGGCGTCCGTCATTCAACGCGATGCCACGGTGCAGCGAACGCGTTCTTCTCGCTCCAGCACGGCAGCATCCTACAGATGGCTCGCAAAGTGCACGATGACCGACGGGCATTGGAGCCGAATCATCAGGGGGGCAGTTTCAGACCCAGGACGAGACAGATCGCGCATGGTTTCGGCGGGGGGGGGGGGTATTTTCTTGGAGGTCAGGGGGCCGCGTGGTTATTTGCTCGCACTTTCAGCGAGCCGCTTTTTTCATTGGATTTGCGATCAGGCCGTGGAGCGCGGCCGCCGCGTCGCCGTAGGTGGCGACGCTGCGGGGCGAAGGGGGCGTCGGGCAGGGGTTTGCGACGATGGCATCGTCGATGGTTCTGGGGAAGGGGGGGGCGATGGCGGGGCAGTTTAGGCGCGGGGCGGCGGCCAGGGGCGCGGCCGAGGCGGGGGCGCCGCAGTGCCTCATCCTTGACCTCCATATGGGGCCGGCGGCAGATGACGTTCGGCCCCTGGGAAGCGGAAATGAGATGGAGCTCCAGGCGCTAGGCTCGGACGCGCCACGCCCCCTTATGAGTGGGCTCACCATCTCGGCCTGATTTCCGTAGGCTGAGAATAAAATCGCGCCCCGCGCCTCTGGCCCGCGCTCGGCCAGGAATATCGCAGCTGAGGCCCCGCGCCCCCCAGGAGGCGTTAGGTTCTCACGCCGAGACTTCCGCGAAGATTTTCAGCTGCGCCATTGCTGAAGGCCAGGCTGAAGACTGCCTTGGCCAAGGCCCGTCGTCTCTCGCGCCATGAGAAAGGAGGCGCTAGGGCGGCCGGCATTGCCGACGCGAGCTCGCGCCCTGCAGTTTCCCGCGGCATTGAAGTTGCTGGGCTGAGTACCCACCAGGCCCATCAAATTAGGGCCATCTATCATGCAGGGCTTGGTGCAGTTTAGCGCCGATCTGCCACTGTGGACCTCGCTCTACATGGCGTTGCCGACCCTGCCCTGGATGCCCATGCAGATGTTGTGCGTCTCTGGGCTGACTCACGTTCGAAGCGCGTCCTACCCGTGCGGGATCATTGAATCGCTTCGCTCATTCCGCCGGCCCGTGATATGGCATCGCTGGTTTTTGTCTGTGTGTTCGTTGCCCATGTTGCGCTCTTGGGGGCGGGTGTCGTTCGGGCGCGTTGCGTGGGGAGTTTTGATGGTGAAGCAGTTCCCTGGGGGTCGTCTCTCGATGGGGCGAAATAGAGTCGTCGTCAAGATGCTTCTTTGGGGGGCCTCTTGGGGTCTGTTGAGAGGCCGTTCGGGGGCGCCTGGGAGACATGTTTGAAGCCTTCTGGGGCTTCTTTTGGGCCTCCTGGGAGTCTCCTGGGGCCTTTGGCGACATCTTGGGGCCTCTTGGAGGCCTCTTGGGGCCTCTTTGGGACCTCCTGGGCGCCTTCTGGGACGGAGGGCTCCATTTTTGAGTTGTCGGTATCCCTCCTGAGTCCCTCTTGGGCCCGTCTTGGGGCCTCTTGGTCCGTCTTGGGCGGCACTTGGGCCGTCTTGAGGGCTCTCTTGGGTCGTTTCGGC